CCAGGTCGCCTGTATGCTACTTAGGTGATAAAAGGTTAATGAGATCACCACAAAACCAAAGTCAAAAGTATTTCTCTCACATTCAAACATCTGCAGATCCACAGATTATTCATCCATGAATCAGTCGAGGTGGGAGATTCCAGCGTTCTTTAGCCAGACTTCCTCATCAGTCTCCTTAGTGTGTCTGACGCTCCACATGAAAGCCAGATGTCTGTTAAACTTGACTCTCAGGTTTGATGCTGAAACACTGCCCGTGTTGGCTTCCTACCAAAACAATCAGACGACTCTCTGGGAATGAATCAGAGGGAGGAGGTGCACGCTAATGCAAGCAAGGCACTACCAGCAGTGCAGCAATGATGGCAGACGGCTCAGCTGGAGTTCAGCGTGCCCACATCCACGTGTCTTCCTTCTCTCCATCATCACACCTCTCTGCCTCCATCAGACGAGGAATATTTTGGGACCTGCTGTATATAACGAAATATTTGTCCTGCCTGGTCCTTAAACGCGTCTCAAGCTGTAATACACTCATTCATAGAACCATGGTTACCTCGGCAACCATATGTTTGTGTGATGAAACTGCTGTTTCCAGTTCCTCTTATGCTGGCAGTGGGGTCATAATAATATCTTAGACACGCCTGTAATGTTCCAACTCTTATTTTGAAATCACCGGAAGTAGAAAGGTACGCCGGCTGTGTGCTCATGTGCTAGCTTAGCAGTTTACAGTTGCGTGGAGGCGTTGTTCTATATACGGAATAAAAGAATCTGACGACTCCGAGGCGATTTGTTCATCAGCAGTGACGACACAACAACACCCACCGAAGAAAACATCCTGGCCCGTTGGTCTCCTGCCCCCTGGTGGTCATTAGGGAATAATGCAGGCTTGTCATTGGCTTCATGTACTTCACCTTTGATAGAAAAAGTTTTTGACCTCAAGCGCAGCTTTGAGATACTAAGTGCGTCTCATGTGAGGCTGTTGGTAAAAGTTACCAGTTTATTTTCATTTGTTTCCAGGAGAGTGAACCCAGTCACTGCTCTGCAGCTGCTGCGTTTCACTGGACACGCCTTGTGTTTGAAAACACTTTAAAACGTGTGTTTAAACACATTTTGTGTGCTTTTTAAACATGTTTATGTTTTTACCATCGCCATTAACTCCACTGTCAGGGTGGGGCACACGACAGCAGGGGGCGGGGCGCCAACTATCTACAGGACTTTAAACTCTGTGGTGTCCGCACGCTGCTCGGAAGGAGCCGCCACGGGACCGTCATGGCGCTGGAGCTCTACCTGGACCTGTTCTCGCAGCCCTGCCGCTCCGTGTACATCTTCGCCAAGAAGAACAACATCAGCTTCGACTTCAAGAAGCTTTCTCTGCTGGACGGTGAGTTCACGCACGCAGACACGCAGACACGCACGTCGGCAGTATGAGCGTTCACAGCAGCAGGAGGTTTGGACGAGCACAGGTCTGAGTTGTGAGTCTGTGAGGGTGTAGATCAGGGTTTCTTTGAACTTCCTTCGCTCGCAGAGCAGCTGCTCCGTCGGTCCGCACTGATAAGACTGTGAACAGAACTGACGCTGTCTGGTTATGTCTACGATGATCATGTGATTCTTCCAAATATCTGCTATTAAAGCGTGTGCGTGTGCGTGTGCACGCGCGTGTGCGTGTGTTGGTCCCAGGCCAGCAGTATGGGGAGGACTTTGGGAAGATCAGCCTGATCAGGAAGGTGCCAGCTCTCAGAGATGGAGACTTCTGCCTGGCTGAAAGGTGATTATGTCAAACAGTGGTGAGGTGAGGAAGCGCTGGTCTGCCGTGACGTCACCGTGATGTCTTCTCTGCAGCGTCGCTATCATGTTGTACCTGGCTGAGAAGTTTAAGACTCCCGACTTCTGGTACCCAGCTGACCTCCGGCAGCGTGCTCGCGTCAACGAGTACCTGTCGTGGCAGCACACGGCCATCCGGATGCACGGCTCCAAGATCTTCTGGCTCCGGGTACGTTCCCCTTCACTGATCTGTGTAGGTGCTGTTAGATTAGTAATGTCTTACCGCCATCATGTTCTAGCTGTGTTGGAATACCCTTTCGTCTGGTTATGAAGTAAAATCACTGTGCAGTGATGTCACTGAGCATTTCTGGGCCAGCTGAAAACGATCAGCAATAAATGCCACTGCTGAAAACTGAGTTCAGCAGTTCTTACTGTGCACGTCTGTGGTAAAGTTTCATCACTGCCATTCATTGGTCTGCTCGCTCAGAGAGAGAGCTGCTCTGAGCCAGTAAGCTAAAGTCATGCGAGCAGGCGGAGGCGCAGCCCCCAGACACACGTCCTCTGCCTGCATCGTCTCCTCCCCCGGCGTGTGCGAGAAGGCGACTACGTGTTTGAGGTTTTCCTCGCCCACCTCTTTGGGACAGATGCTACTTTCCTAGTTTGTTGGTCTCTGCTCAAAGAAAAACCAGGCTTCTGAGTCGCCGTGTCATCATTCATCTCCTGATTGTGTTCAGCATTAAGCTCGTTGTTTCACTCACACTGGATCCATTGTGCCTGTAGGT